AGTCACCCGCTAACCTGATAGTAACCCAGTGGAATATTCGTTAGATCAATCACTATACACGATAATACAAAAATCCATAAATCCCAGGCCATATATTTTAAGATACAAAAAGGTGATACTGTATGGTTCAGTTTGGTTTTTATCTTTTTGCAAGCGTTTCTAATTTTTTTTTAAATATACTACTACTACTACTACTAGTGGTAATAATAATAATAATAATAATAATAATAATAATAATAATAATAATAATAATAATAATGATGATGATGATGATGATGATGATGATGATGATGATGATGATGATGATGATGACGATGATGATGATGATGGTGATAATGATAATAAGTGATAATATTAATAGTATTAAAAATTGTGCTAAAGGCGACAAAAAAGTTGTGATTTGTTGATCATAATTATTATAGTAGTTAAAGCTTAGGCCTAAGTTGTCCTGGATATTAATTAGATCACTATGGTTGCCGAAAATCCCTGATAAAAGATCATGAGAAATTTTCTGGCGCTTCATTTTGACTATAATGGTGATGGCATGATGATGAATTTTACTATCATGTTAATATCATTTCCGGCCATCTAGAGGTGCTATTTCCTCAGATTTGCTCACCTCAGCCCCAACCGTGGTGGGGCTGAGGTCGTTGTGGAATCACGGCTTTTGTTTCCTATGGCACATCACACATATTAATAAGATCTTTATGGCTGCCGAAAATTCCCTGATAAAAGATCATGGAAATTTTGTTGGCGCTTATTTTGACTATAAATGGTGAAGTGATGGTGATGAATTTTACTAAAAGTGTCATTTCTGGCCATCTAGACGTACTATTTCCACAAATTTCCGCACCTCGGCATCAACCATGAGATGGGTGTAGAGTCACAAAATGTCTCCTCACCCCAACCTTTTAAAACAGGTCTGCGCCCTTCCATGGGTATGACATTAAACTCAATCGAGTCGGCACGTGACTCAGAGTATGTCTTAGTGAATGCTGAGGGGAGGGTGCATAAATTTGTTTTCAGGATGTGATCTGGTGTTTCATGCCCATTTTTCGTGATTATAACTATTTTGGATAAAGAATGTTTTAAGCAGTGGTAGGTTCAAGCACCCCCACCCCCAAACCTACATTTTTTTTAGGGAAACAAAAAAAAAGGGGAAATTATATTCAAATTTAAGTCAAGAGTGTAATTTCCGGGCATCTAAAGGTGCCCTAATCATAAATTTTCTTACCTCAGCCCTAGTGGGTGGACGCTCAATCTGTGAAAGTCCCTCCCTGGGTTACTTCTCTTTCGAATTCCTGGATCCGCCACTATTGAGTTACTAATAGAATTATTGTTTGGCTTAATAATATTTTATTTATGATGCATCTATTGCAATTTTCATTTATCATCTCAAAATAGTCCTTCAAAATTCAGAGTGCGCTACCTCCCAGGGGGCCATTGGACTTCGCCCCCCGGACCTTTGCGTCCCCAGCCGTAGGAAGGGGAACACCCCATTACAGCTCAGTACTACGTACCTCACATAACGGCCCCCCCCCACCCTTTCAAAATCCTGGCTACGTCCCTGGTCCGTAAGCGAATAGCTTTCGTTAAATTTTTCATTCGTGGCAAAAAATTATATATATATATAAAGATTATATATTATTTGGCGTAAGTGCCACAAATTTCGAAAGTGATTAGTAAATCTTTCGCACAAAAGAGCTATGTGCTGCCACGAATGCATGTGCGTGAGAAGGTAGCTGCACCGGTCTTTATAGGAGTGGAACTGCGAGAATAAAATCCTGGCTTTTGAAGGATTTGAATCCAGAATTGTGCGATTACAGGACAAGCACCTTAACCATCAGACCGCATCTCTAACAGCAGTGAAAAAAAACTTCTGTGCTCTCCAGCGTGCATTTGTCAATACAAACACAATCATGTAACGTCCATTCGTATAGACCTAACGAAATTTCATACTTGCATTATTTAAATCGTGTCTCTCTGCTGATTAATTATTTAATCATTTAATATGTTATGATAGATTAAAGGCTGACGATAACTGTGAAAACAAAATGCTCGAGAAAACTAAACAACAAAGTGTACTGAATGGTAATATTACATAGACAATACGCTAAATTAGTTGCTGGATAGTGACGTCACAAACATAAAAAAACAACTGTTTACTTTCTCATGCGTTCACATGTGGATTTTAAAACCTTACATTATTTATAATAATGTTTTATTATTTTATACGTTTCGTTCAAAATATATTAAATATTCATAATAAACCTATGCCTATAGGCCTATGGTATAGACTTAGGTCCTAGATACCTTTAAGATCTCAAATTTTGGACCTGTACAAGATATTTTAGTAACTGTGTTACAATATATGTTTATATAGACTATTGTTTGCTTGTTTTAACTTTTAACTAAGAAACTCACACCAATCAACATCACATCGAGGATTCAAAGATAACGATACGAGAAATACCATACTATATATTCATTAAGGGTTATCTTTTTTTAAGTTCATATCATGTATTCACAGCGCAACTTTTACAAAAGCTGTCTGCTATTTTTACATTATCACTGGAGCCAACTTCATTAAACATACAAAATGTCACGTGGCATGTATACGCAAGTTAACATGATCTCAACGTGAACCCAATTTATCTAAAAGTTGAAGGTAGAAGATGCACCAAAAAACGTAGATTTCAAAATCAGCTACATACACATTTAGATAATAATATAGCGTCTATAAAGTTACGTAAGCAATACGACAAATAATAACATTATTGAATATTATGTCGATAATGAATTTCATTATGTTACTAGATTAAAAAAACGGTAGCGGCATAAAATTACTGTACATTATGACAAAACACTTTACTAGATTCAATGCCGTGTTTTGTGAAAACTATTCAAACGCAGCACTAAAGTGGTTCTGTCGTTAATTAATTCATCCACATAATGCCCATTAAAATGAAACATCCAGATTTATATCTATATATCATTGGCTGTGTTACGCCACGTAGCCTCATTTGCATACAGACGCGCACGCTGGCTTTTATGAAATATTTTACGCGCGATACATGCATTGCAGTCGCTACTGAACCACTTTAAATCAAAGAATTGACTTAAAAGGTATTATATTTTAATAAATTCATCAATATTGTACAATAAAATGAAACATCCAGAGCTAATATCTACATACTATTGTCTGTGGTACGCCACGTAGCCTCATTTGTAAACAGACGCACATGTTAGCCGTAGTGAACCACTTTATGCGCCATAATCAAGTGGTAGTGCGAGTAAACCACTATATATTTCAGTATTTTTTTTTTCAATTTTATGGATTATATTTACAAATTAAGTCCATTAGTGTTGATGAAGACAGATGTATCCTGAATAAATCAAATCGTTATCGATTCGTTTCCCCTCAAAACAACTTAGGCCTAAATTAAATACATCAGGAAAAAAGGACAAGGCATAATAACAATATTTTATTAATACAATTTTCGAGAATCCTGAATAGTTAATGTATATATATATATATATATATATATATATATAGATGTGTATAAGAGATATATATATGCCTATATGTATTTATGTATAATATATACATTTGCCTACTATAAGTATGTATGTTATAGTTAGTGGTAAGTAAAGATAACTAAAAACGTGTTATTTGCATCAACAAACAAAAGCATATCTGATTTAAAGTTATTTGAAAGAAAAATAACTGATACATTTTATAATATTTGACTATACGGATTATTATTATTATCATTATTAATGTTATTATCATTACCATGTGGCATGCTACAAATCTCCATTGATTGCATTATTATTATTATTTTATTATTATTATTACTGTTACTATTATTATATCATTATTATTATTATTATTATTGTTATTATTATTATTATTATTATTATTATTATTATTTTAAATTTATTAAAAATGTCCCTATTTACACCTCATTGTATGTGACGTCATGTCTATAACCTGATGATATAGGACCCAACGATCATTTAGGAAAGGTTACGTTTCAACATATCTTTGACGTTAATTTACTCACGTAACGTGATTAAAAAAATACAATTTTCCTCAATTGAAATCCTCTTTTAAATCCACATCTAGAATTAGGAAAGCTTAGCTTATGAGGTGTTTTTGACAGTTACGGGACACTATATTAACAACAATTTGTTTCGGATGAGGTCGTGTATTTGATTTAGAGACTAACGTACGTGTACAACGCATCGCAAGCGAGTTCAGCTAACCATAACAGTACACTTTTAAACATATATATTCATTAATAAGAGAATATTATGAACGTTGTATGAGCAAACAAAATCTATATATTACCACGTTTCGTACGTTTCTGTAAGATAGGGGTAAGACAGGGTATAAAGGATAGACAAATAATCATGATATAGGTTTTTTTTTTTTAAATTATACACACGACTGAAATCAGAGGACTTCAATAAGGATAAATGAAATTGATTTCTCTGTCACCAAGTAATTGATCCTAACCATTTTCAAAGCGGTTGTTCAGTGAGAGTATGTATTATTCTGGTAACTGTCAGTTTTTAAAAACAAATATACCAGTAAAGTGAGTGTAGTGTCTAAGAATATTGTTACTAATTTGAACCAGAGCCTACAATGATGTCTTAAACACTCAAAAATCGATCGTAATTGGAAAACTGAGAAAGAAAACAACTCATATGCATAAAGAGTGAGTTAGGAATCCTTTAACCGTTTTATTCAATTAATCTGCAATGTCAAATTTCCCACGAGCCCATTTAAGAGATCTAATTCGCCATTATATCAACCAATAGTGTGTTTATCAAATCAAGTTTAAGATCCATGGAACTAACAATAATGTCTAAGACGCTGTCCCAGCTAGCTCTCTGTCCCGGGTTACAGAACTTGGCCTTCTATAACGTTGAAAATATCGGACAAATGTGCCGACATAGATCAGTTAATCATTTCTCCTAATTTTTACTTTCAGATAAAAAAATATCCGAAAGAGACACTAAAGATAAAAAAGATATGTATAGGCCTACGATTTTGTTTGCGCTGATGATCAGTGCCATGATGGCTGGCGTTGGCAATACAGAAGATATTGGAGAATTCGAAGCGGGACAAGTAAGTAAAAAATAAATGAAAATAACAGATGAGAAGAAGGATGACAACAAGTAATAATAATAATAATAATAATAATAATAATAATAATAAACAGTAATAATAATAATAATAGGCCTAATAATAATAATAATAATCAACAGAAGATGATATATACGTTCATATTCTAAGTCAAATGAATGCTAAAGGCGTTCAAATATAGGCCTAAGTCACTTAAATATGATGTATACATCAAGATACACAAGTGAAGTAAATCACACTAATTTCAGATTTATAAGAACTAATTCAGTGATAGCACAGAAAGGTTAAGAAACCTATACATTACAAGTAGAGAAGCTCGTTTATGCAATCTGCTATCCGTCTCGAAAAATAAGGCATCAGAATAACGTGTACCTTAGAATTCAACTTATATAGTAGGCTTATATAGCTCCTGTATATAATATAATATAATATAATATAATATAATATAATATAATATAATATAATATAATATAATATAATATATAATATAATATAATATAATATAAAATATAATATATTATAATATTATATTATATTATAGGCCTATATACATATATATACCATATATCTATTTGTTTATATACAATATATATATATATATATAGCAAATAACTACTAACATATAATACATAATATAATAATAATTTGTGATATCGAAATTATTGATTAATACAAACAAAAATTGTAAATGTATTCAGTTATTCCATTATTATTGTTATTATTATTATTATTATCAATATTATCAACAACAACAATATTATCATCATTATCGTTATCATCAACAACATCACTGTGTCATCAACATCATCATTATTAATATTATTATTATTATTATTATTATTATTATTATTATTATTATTATTATTATTATTATTATTACTGTGTCCGCAAAGCCATCGTAGAAACTTTTGCGAGTGTTTTTTATTGTCAGACCACGTTCGATGATAGATCTGTTGGCAATGAACGAATGTTCTCTCATGAAATTACAACATTATGCAATTTATCACTGTGCAGTTGTTGATTAACGATATAACACTAGTTAATACGACAATTCCGCACGTGAACATTATCCAAATCTATTACAATAAGCGCTTTTCCATATATCAAACAGTTTTAATTTTTATGTGCAATGATTATACAGGGGTTTTCAACACAGACGACGAATGCGCTGACACGTTTATAAGGGGTCGTGTTCCCGTAGAATATGCTTTAAATTTAGTGTTGTAATCCCTATGCATGAGGCTCTAGAGACAGGCCTCTTTGCCAGCTTAATGTCAAAATAACAGTCAACTAATAATAGCGAGGGATTGTATTATTTCGGTAACAACTATAAATCATGTAATGTAAATGTAGATGAACATTATAATATAGGTAAATATAAACATTATGCATAGTTTTAGGTCATAATAAAATCATAAATATTGTTGAATTTTATACCATATAATTGCTAAAACATAAGATATTGTACATTATATTTGACTGTAGTTTGAATTTTTTGATATAGTTACTAATTCAGATTATTTACTTAGAAATATATGAGACAATTACATCATAATGACTATAGTGACTTATAAATCAAGATGCGTGCAGGCTACGGTATGGATTGGAATCCCATATAAAAGTACGGAAAATAAAGAAATCCAAACTAACAAAATCGATTGATATGATGTAGCACACGCAATAGGCCTAACCGATGTCCATTTTAAGAATCAATGGGAACAAATCTGGTTTGGTGATAATTTGGAATATTATTTTGATTCATTGTAGTTCCTGTGATACAATGTCATTTTTTTATTTGATTTGAATTTTGATTTAACATCATCATTACAATTATCATTATTATCCTTATCATCGTTGTCGTCATCATCATCATCAGCATCATCAGCATCATCATCATCATCAGCATCATCATCATCATCATCATCGTCGTCGTCATTGTTTTTATCGTATTATTTATTATTATTTTTTATCAATCACTCAATCAATCAGGATGCAATGTTCAGCGATATTATTATTATTATTATTATTATTATTATTATTATTATTATTATTATTATTATTATTATTATTATTATTATTATTTATTATTATTATTTATTATTATTATTATTCTTGTTGTCGTTGTAATTGTTCCTTGCATTTGTTGTTACAGATACAGAACACAGTTGGGCTTGGTATACCAAAGATATGGCCGGATGAGGGCGACATTGCTGAGCTTGCTGAAGAGCAAATTGCGCAACACGAAGAGATTATCAACTATTTGAATCATTTAAGAAATGAATATTTGCAAGGAAGCCAAACGAAAAGAAGTGGGTTTTTCAACAGGCGCTCGGGAAGTCCGATGTACGACGTACCGTCACAGGACTGGAATAAAAGAGGCGATTTTACATCAGCCAAACGAAGCGGTTTCTTTAATCGAAAACGAAGTGGATACGAGCAGAGAAAGTAGAGCCTAGTTTAAATGATACTTATGGTAACAAGATAGGGAACAAATATGTTAATAAATTATTTTCTTAGGCATAAAATTCATTTTTAAAGAACTGTTTTTGGGGAATATACAGTACAATAAACGTTTTCTAGAATTGTTCTCATTAACGATGTTGTAGGGGATCTATGGCAATACCGAAACCTGCACATTGAACATTGTTGCTTTAATTGATTGCCAAATAATTTGAACACATTTTCTCTACTGAATAAGAGATCATGCTATCTTTGATCTTGATTGCCGTCCGTTTCAATCTATAAGAAAAAACAAGAAGAAGAAGAAATGACCTGTGCCCAAGTCTCTATGCCACGTACTGTAATTCACAAGTTTAAGAGGGCGTGTTCTTTCGTTTACAGTAACTCTAAAATGCGACATATTAATGTACATATTATTATCTAAACGAATTATAGGAAATTATTTTAATTAGTGTTTCTTGTATCTTCACGTATTTGTGCTGTCATTTTTCTTCTCTCAACATCTATTATGAAGATATTTCTACGAAACTGTTATGCTAAAAAAAAACTCACCAAAATTCAGCTGAATATTAATTTTCTTTGTCGTTTAGCCTTAAAATGTTCACAATACCATTAGATGATTAAAAGTCAGTTGTTAAAACAAATTTATTTCATAATAAATTGATTAAAATAACAAAATATGAGCCGAAGACTTAATTGAATGGAAGACTTCGAATTTGTTTAAAGTATAATGAAGTTAAGTTGTAAATTAATCATTCATTCGTGTAAATTGAATCAGTGTTGTGTTATTAGTAGTAGTTTGGAATTTCAGTGCCAGTGACGTAAGATATCATGCATGTACATAGAGTGGTTATAAATAGGCTTACTAGAGTGCAAGTTAAAGGAGAGGCCTAGAGTTTTCATTCCTAAAAAATGGTCACACGATCACGCTAGAACGCAACCATGTCTGCTGGGATTGAGTGAACCCGGTCACGTATTGGCGGGAGTGTGCGTGTGATTAAACATTTCATCGGCCTTAAAATTTTGCTCACCCAGAAGTTCGAATTTGAACTCATTCCTAACGTTAAAGTCCCATATTTGAGTGGCTTATGCGTGACAAATTTATGTAAATCTTCTATTTTATTGTTGTAGATGATCAACTGTATTTGGGGTTAGAAATTATGCATGATTTCTCTGTGAAGAATATGACGTCCTCGTTAAGATAATTATTTACGTTAAATTGATATAATGTTTTATTAATAATTATAAAGAAATTAAATGCACCATGTTACACCTTGAAGTTTGTTACTCATGTGCCGACTTTAATGTGGTTCCGTAAATTACTTACCCCAACCCGCCCCCTAGAAATATGATGACCGATTTAATCATGACCGTGGTAAACTGTATAAAAGAACTGACAATATCAATCTGGTATTACTTAATATTCTACTACTACTACTACTAGGCCTACTACGGTACTTCTACTACTTCTACTACTACACGTTACATTGAATATAATTCCAGATGGGATATAATACAAACAGTTGAAATGATTAGATAAACGTGTGT